GAGCGGGAGCGGGAGCGGGAGCGGGAGCGGGAGCGGGAGCGGGAGCGAGAACATACCTAAGTTGTTTTGACTGCCTGACCAAAAAGGTATGACAAAAATAAGACAGAAAAGAAAACTCTACTTTGCATTCTAATTTTCTTGTTACGCCTTAGGGAATTTCATATATAATTTTTAAATAAAGGGATCAAATCGTACAAATCATACCTATGTTTGGTATCCTCCACATTAAATAATAATGACCACATTATCTCAAATATCGTGTACCTACTTCCATTTGACATATTATTCTTACAATGATCTTTTTGAAACTGGTGTTTGTAACAGATTTTAAGTGTTGTGAGGATAGCTACTTCTTATTGCGGGTTTACTGTGTGTCCAGCCCTGTCTCATACACTCCGCCTGCAGTATCTCATTTAGCACCACAGCTAGGTTAGGACTGTTTTTATACTTTGTTTTTAAAGGTAAAGAAACTGAAGCTGACTTAGGAAAAAGTCCCTAAATCTTAACAGCGAGTGAGTCGGGGAGTCTGAGTTTCAGCTCAGTTCTGGCTAACTTCTGAGCATGGGCTCATCACTGCTGGCCTGTTCAGACCCTGAACACTGTCATCTTCTTGACAAAACTGTACAGTAATTTATCTGTTGAGCACTCTGACCCCCATTACACAATATTAATAGGACCAACCATGGAGAACCAAATACCTACAGATACAGGACTCTGCGCACATAACCAGATGTTTCTCAGGATAAACATGGGCCTGAAATTTGACTGCCTGATTGAAGTTATGAATGTATCTCTGTGGTTTGCTTACTCCATGTATCTTTTTCCTGTCTACAGTGGACCTAAGTATGCTGAAGGAGTACTTCACATGTCCTGGCTACAAAGGCTACAACCTGGTCTACAGCCCCCAGGATGGCGTCACATGTGTGTCCCCATGTAGTGAGGGCTACTGTCAGAATGGAGGCCAGTGTGAGCACCTGCCAGATGGGCCCCAGTGCAGGTGGGTAGTGCTCTGGCACAGAAAAGCATAGTACTGGGGAACTCAAATTTGATGAGACACTATGGTGGGCCCAGGAAGGCAATGGTCCCTCCCAAGACATGACATTGGGATGACTCCCTAGGGGGTGGAGGACAAGAAGCAGAGAAAGGGGGCAGTGGGAGAAGGGTGTGGCACTGCTCTTCATGGAGGAGAAAGATGTGTGTTGCTTCTGAAACCCAAGCTAGTCACAAAAAGTTACTCCAGCCATTCTGGACATGGAGAAAACTACGCTGTAGAGAGAGGAGGTGCCAGTGGGCACCCAGGAAATAGAATGTCAAAGTACCAGAGCCTCCCTAAGAATGGATGCCCTCCAGACCTTGTGGAAAAGAATGAAGTGGCTTGGCTGGTCCCAGTCATGCCCAGGGGACTCAATCTGGAGAAACCCCTGAAGCCGGTTCCTTAGGCCTCCTCCATACATTAACAAACTGTGTCTTCCCTGAGGAGAGGACTCTGTGTCCCTGTGCAGGGACACAGGGGCTTGTCTTCCAGTGTCCCCTGTTTACTCTTGTCCCACTCTTAGTCCAGGACTAGTCAAAGGAGATGGGCTGAGTCGAGGGCAGAGCTCATCCTTTGGGAGATAAGGGAATGGGTTTCTGGCTGTGTGGGCACACCTCTGTCTACCACCCTTCTGAGCCATGCTGGTGGTATAAAATGTGCTATCCAGCCCTGGTTTTTAAAACCATCCCTCCCTCCTTTGTCTGGTGACCTCACTTCAAAATGGCCTCAGGGATGGCTGGAGCCTCCACCTCGCCTGTCTTGCATAATGACCCCTGGTCCCCAGGAGTGGAAGGCCTCCTCACTGACCACGACTGTTCTCTCTGTCCCCAGCTGCACATCCTTCACCATCTACACATCCTGGGGCAAGCACTGTGAGCACCTGAGTGTGAAACTTGGGGCCTTCTTCGGGATCCTCTTCGGAGCCCTGGGCGCCCTCTTACTACTGGGGATCTTAGCATTTATGGTCTTTCACTTCTGCGGCTGCTCCATGAACAAGTTCTCCTATCCTTTGGACTCAGACCTGTGAGGCCTCATCCCAGATGGGCAGCTGCACCCAGGATACCTCAGCACCCACCCATCAGTCTGCCTCCGGTCTAGGGAGACTGGAAAGGGCCTGCTGCATGAAGATGACCTGAGATTCTTCAAGAATGGATGAAGGGAGTGGAACCAGACTCTATCTTTGTAGTAGACCAGGGGTACAGGAAAAGGCCATGATGACCAGCTATACAGATGGATGGGTTCTATACAGACACGTACATAGGATACGGTCTATGTATGAGTGCAGACTGTGTGTATACACACCAGGGTTAATGGATGACCGCCTTTACATTGACCAAAATGTTTTACATATAAAACTGGCTTAGCTCTCATTAAAATCTATTTAAATAAAGTCTCTTTCATTTTATGTCTTCTAACCATGAATTCCATCCCAGATTTCTTCTGGAGGCTGAAGGATTAAGCACAGTGTGTTTTTCCACTCCTCATAAACATAGTTGTAACGTTGCATATGAGGCTGGGGGTGGAAAGGTCAGATGGTGGGGCCCAACCCTACCATAGCCCCTAGCTGCCCCATGATGGCTGCATCAGTGGCCAAAACTCTGACTTGGTCCTTGCTTCCTCCTGTCTCACCCACCCCTATACCTCAGCTAATGCTTCCGGAACCTGTTTCCCAAAGATGTCTGTGCTGGAGCCTTGGTCCCTGGTACAGCCATATTGGAGAGGTAAACCTTCAAGAGACAGGGCCTAATACAAGTCAATTAGGTTATGCAACTCACATTCAGGAGGACTGGAGTATTTCCCAAAGGACCCCAGTTCCCCAGGGAGTGAGTTTTTACTATATGAGAGTAGCTTGTGACCTTGGCCTCTTCTGTGTATGGCAGACAGGTCTCTTTTCTGTTTCTCTGCCATTTGACTTAGCCAAAAGGACTTCACTTAGAGGCCAAAGAGATTAAGCCATTCAACCTTGGACTTCCCATTTCCAAACCTGTGAACTGTATCAGTAAGCACCTTGCTTGTGTAGGGCAAGTGTAGCCACCACACCTGAAATGGAATTTGGAAAGCAGAGGAAGGGGGATGATTGCAAGATCCAGACCAGCAGGGCTTAAGCAAGATCTTATCTCCCAAAGGAGCGCTGTTTGTTAATGCACGAAAAGCCATATTGCACAGCCCGGACTGTGCACTCTGCAAAAATGCATTATTCTTGAGTTTAAAAAGGGAGTGGTCAGACTTAGCAAATAAAAAACAGACAATGCTTAAGTTAAAATTTAAGTTTGTGACAAGCCACCAGCACAACTGATTTTATACAATAAGGATGTTTCCCAAAATATTTAGGACATTTTTAAAAATTGTTTATCTGAAGTTGTAACATACTTGATACTCTGTATCTTGTCTAGTAGCCATGGTCACAACTGTTGAAGCAATGAGAGCCCAGAATCGGCCCCCTGACAGGGAAAGGAAGGCGTCCAGGCAGACTATGCTCTGGCTGGCCAGGAACTACCTTTGAGAATGGAATAACCAGATTAAGGACACTTCCACATCTTCATGAGTTTACTTCCGGCTTTTAAAATTTGGATTCTGTCACTTTGGTACCTAGAGTAAAAACTGCATGTGTCACAGACAAGTGCATATGTCTGTGAAAGACATTAGGTGGCCTGCTGGCAAGGCCCAGGGATCCTCCTGTGTCTGTCCCATCTGACAGTACTGGGACTAGTCCTTCTTCAGGGTGCTAAGAAAGGGAGGCAGATGCTTACCAGTTCCAGCAGGTTACGAGCAGCAGGACATCCTTAGGGGCCACGGAGGGGCAAAGGAAACTGTCTGGGGCCCAAAATGCCAATATCCTTGCTCATTCTTTAAAGAAACATCCCAGAACCTTCCTGTGGGCTGATACAAGGAGCTAAATGTCCAGGATGACAGATAATAGCTTGCTGGTTTAATACCTCATTTTAAACTTTATGGACTAGACAGTGATGTGGTATCTGCTCATTTACATGTGGGACACAACCATGGGCTGGCTGCCAGACACTGCTTCACATAGCTGGGTGGCCAGCCCTCTCTCAAGGGACAAAAGAAGAACTAGATGGCCAGAAGCTTTGGGTAATCTTGTCAGGAAAGTCCTTCATTTTATCATTCCCTTCATGGCTTTGGGGTTTTGTCATCTCAGAGGTCATATCTAGTCACAGGTGACAAAGTAGGTTCACACCTGATATTATCTTTATGGAGTGTGTGTGTGTGTGTGTGTGTGTGTACAAGTGCATGTGTCTGTGAAAGACTTTAGGTGGCCTGCTGCAAGGCCCAGGGGTCCTCCTGTCTCTGTCCCATCTGGCAGTACTGGGGTTTGCATATAGCCATGGCTGGGTTTTACATGAGTGGTGAGAATCTGAACTCAAGTAGCCATACTTTTAAGGCAAGTTCTCTTATCCACCGATCCATCTCCCTATCCTCGGTGTTTTTACCTTGTCTACACACACCTTCAGAATCTTAATGGCTGAGAAATTATTCCACATCCTTTTGTTTCTTGCTGATTCAGTGACATTATTTCTGTGAACCTTGATCCTCTCCTCCCTTCTCCACACAATTATAATCACAAATATATATTTATATATGTAATATTTATTTATATATAATTTCTATAATATCATTTACATGTATGATTTAGATAATAAAATATATTTATAATGACATATAATTGTAATTATAATTTCCAAATACTTCCAATTGTTCTGTCCCATATTTTATAATTTTTTTTCTGGTTTACTAGTAATCCTCATCAAAACAGTATGCACGGGTCCTTACATGTATGTAGTTAATGTTAAATTATCCTCTGAAGTAGGTGTCACCAACTGAAGAAAGTACAAAGCAGGAGAAGAAGAAAGACTCAGTGTAGGGGCTTCGTAAGCCAGCTGCCTTCCTCCATACCTGGTCCCAGCACAGCCTGAGATGATAGCAAGTCAGCTGATGTCTTGATTGTGCTGCAGAGTGTTCTTTCCGTAGCTTGCAGAGCCCACTGCCCTAATTTCAGAGACGTCTGCTCTTGTAACCTGTCTTAGCCACTGTCCTATTGCTGTGAGGAGACATCATGTCTGAGGCAACTTATAAAAGGAAACACTTAACTGGGGGCTTGCTAACAGTTTCAGAGGGTGAGTCCTCGACCATCACAGCAGGGAGCATGGCAGCAGACAAAGCTTGGTGCTGGAGCAGTGACTGAGAGCTTACATGTCATCCAACAGTTAGAGGCAGAGAGAGAGCTCTAGACTGATGTTGACATGGGCTTTTGAAACTCAAAGCCTGCCTGCCCCCAGTAACACGCTTCTAACAAAGCCATACCTCCTAATCCCTCCTAAACAGTTCCGCCAACTGAGAACCAACCATTCAAATATATGAGCCTATTAGGGGCCATTCTCATTAAAACTACCAAAGAACCCATTATCCATCTCAGGCACTCGGAAGCATTTGGGTGACCCTCTGTATAGGGCTCTGTACTCAGTTCTGGAACTACTCTGAACTAGTTAGTACTTATCCTGAACATGGGTAATTTCAGAAACCTACATTATAACATAGCATGTTAAGTGTTACAACAAAACTCTAAGCAAAGAGACTGAGAAATCATCTGCTCTCTCAGGAATCTGACAGACACATGAAAAGGTCCCGTCTGAACTGGGCTTCTGAGAATGAGTAGGAGTTTTCCAGAAGAGACCCCCAGGAAGTGAGACTATTCCAGCAGGAAGAAACCATGAGGGCAAGAACTCAAGATCTAATCAGGTGTTGCTTGGGAGCATGAGACCCTCCTGTAGATGGGACACAGGACACAGGATACAGGAGTGGGCACTCTAGGCTGAGGCCACATCCTGAAGGCTCTTGTGTACCAAGCAGGTTGTCTGTCTGTCTTCTAGGAAACAAGGGAATTTGGCTCTGATGTTGGAAAGGAAATTGCTAGAGACAACGTGAAAAGTAATATGGAGAAAAAAAGTTTCATTTTCAAAAAATAAGACCAAAAGTATCAAAAGCATTATGAACTTTCTTCCATGCTAATAAATATAACTGAAGTCCTCTGGAAGGGCAGTGCATGCTCTGAGCCATCCCTCCAGCCCCGAGTTACTTTCTTTTTAATTACATATGTGTGTCTGTGGTGAGGTGTGTGCATGTGAGTGCAGTGTTCATTGAGGGCAGAAGAGGGCATCAGATCCCAGAGCTAGAGTTACAGGCAGTTGTGAGCTGCCTGACATAGATGCTAGAAACCAAACTCTAATCCTTTGCAAGAGTAGGTCTTAACGGATAAGCCATCACGCCAGCCAGGAAATTCTATAGACTGAATAAAATATTCTTGTATTTTAAATTTTTTTTTTTATTTATTTATTATATATAAGTACACTGTAGCTGTCTTCAGACACCCCACAAGAGGGCATCAGATATCATTACAGATGGTTGTGAGCCACCATGTGGTTGCTGGGATTTGAACTCATGACCTCTGGAAGAGCAGTCAGTGCTCTTAACCACTGAGCCATCTCACCAGCCCTATTCTTGTATTTTAACATCTACTACATCTAACTAAACTGACTCATTGGAATATCTTGAGGTTTTTTGTTGGTTTTTGTTTTGCTTAGTTTTTTTTTTATTGGCAGTTATAACTAGTCCTATATAGATTTCTTTTTTTCTATTATTTTCTTGGAATAAAGTAGGAAAATCTCTAGGTTGAAGGGATGCACATTTTCATAATTTGTTCATTGTGAATTTCACATCATGCACCCCAATCCCACTTATTTCCCCGTCCTTCCATATCTGCCATCCTTGTAACCTCCCCACCAAAAGAAAATTAAATAAACAACAACAAACAAAAAACCCTCACCACGGAAGCTGTGGTGTGTATCCCACACAGTGTACCCTTTTGCCCAAACAGCTTTATTGGCGAATGTTCATTTCAATGAATCTTTGGTGTGGTTCAAGGCCTCAGGCTTCTGCTACGGCATCAATACTGGATCCTCACCAAGACTCCCTTCTTGTTTTTGCCCTGAGTCATGGAGACCCTGCAGCTTTGGCTCTGCTGGACTGGCCTCTTC